GACAAAGCCCTGATACTACATGGAGAGGAAGGCGGCCCAGCAGAGTCCAGCCTTCCAGCCATCCCCACCAGAGCACCAGGCATGTGAGTAAAGCTAACTTGGACCCTTGAGACTGGGCCAGCCACTGGCTGAATGTTACCAAGTGATCCCAGTCAATGCAGAAAAATCACCCAGCTGAGCCCTATACAAATCCTCGACACACTAAATCATGAGCTACATAAATTAGGGAGAGTGGCCGGGCTCGGCCTGTAATCCCACGCCTTTGGGACGCTGAGGTGAGTGGATTGCCTGAGACCGCGGGTTTGAGACCCACCTGGGCAACTTGGCGAGCCCTCATCTCTACAATAAATCAAAAAATCAGCTGGGTGTGGTAGCGCATGCCTGTAATTCCAGCTACTTGGAAAGCTGAGGCGGAAGGATCGCCGGAGCCCAGCAGGTCGAGGCTGTGGTGGCCGGGAGCGGCCACCGCACTACAGTCTGGGCAACAGAGTGTGACTCCAACTCAAAAAAAAAACAAAACAAAAACAAATTAGGGAGAGTGAGTATTGCTACTATGCAGAATAGATAAACAGACTATTTTGCGTTAAATTTCCTTCCATCATAACAGTCATTTATGACGGTTTGTCTTTGTTTTATTTGCTTTTTAATGTTTTCTTCTCCTCTCTCTTTCACTCAATGGTAAATCCCACCATGGGAGGAGACAGGTCTATCTTGTTCACCATGGTAAACCCGGGGTCTAGCCCATGGTAGGTGCTCAATAAATATCGGTCGAGCAATAAATAAGTATATCAGAGTATTATGGGCAGACAGAAGAAGGCACCAGGTCAGAATCAAGGAAATGTCCCAGAGGAAGACATCTAAACGCGGAGGGCTGAGACCAAGCAGATGCAGACTGCAACGGTATGGCCACAGGGAGTGTGCTGTCCCTACCAACCTCCAGGCATCCCCTAGGCTATGACAGCAGGGACCCTGTTCATTTATCTTCATGTCTTCACCACTGAGCACAGCCCAGGAAAATAAGAGGTCCTCAATACACACATTTCAAATAAATGAAGGACCACATGACTTCTTGAGAAAAGCCTGAGCTGGAAGTCAGGAGTCCTGGGTTTTTGAGTGCAATACTTCAATGTGTGTCTTTGGCAAAATAAGCCACTCAGCTTTTCTGTTGCTCAGTTTGCTTGAGACAAAACCACTGGTTCCCGCTTGACTTCCCCAGGTTTTCATCAGCATTAGGAGACAGCAGAGTCAGAGTTCTTTGAAAGATTTGTTAGAATTGGGATATGTGATTTGGAGGGGGGGGAGTGTGATAATATTGTTATCTTAAAGTTCAACCTGCCCCAGGGAAACCTTGAGAACCATCTTCTGAGCCTTTCTTTGGATCTCAGCCCAGGTGAGTCTAGCCCTGAACACAGCTCCTCCCAGGCAGCTGCACATTTTTCAATTGCCCAGGTAGACAGGAAACAGCTGGAGCCTTAGGCAGACAAGGCCCACAAAGCAAAAGCAAGAGCACTGGACTCAGAGTCAAAGGACCTGAGTTCCTGTTCCAATTTGCTGTAAGACCTTGGGCAAATCGATTTTCTTTCTGAGACAAATCTCTCAAAGAGATTTGGACTTTATAGACTAAGTAAATCCTCTCCCTTCCCTCCCTCCTGTCTTCCTTCCTCACTCCCACTCATGGACAAATACCCCATCTGTGCTGAGCATGGGCCCGCTGCAGAGGGAATAAAACCACCAGGCCTGGGCTCTGCCCTCAAGGCCCTGAGAAGCTACTTGGCAGGTAGACGGGTGCTCTTAGGTGAAGCATCGGAACAGCCACGGTGAAGGACCCAGAGTGCAGCACAGGCCCTATGCACTGAGCTTTAAAGAAGAGGTGGCCAGGGGTCAGTCAGTGCCCTGGGGTCAAAGGATGAGTCCAGCCTGCCCCTAGAGACCCTCCGCTTCCAGAAGCTGATGACTCTGCCGTCACATTAGCATTGTGCAGAGGGCGGCTCCAGCTGCTCTGGCCTGGACCAACACCCTAATTAGACTTTCATGGTGTGTCAGGCCTCCTGCTTGGCCCGACTGCCAGCTGGGGCTCCCGTTCCGTCTGGTGGCCTCGGTTAATGAACCCAGGAGGGGCTGGCCAAGCTCATTATAGGTGACACAAGGAAACAGGGCATCCCCATGTCCCCTATTCCCCGCCTTTCCCCTCTCCCCGGTGGGTGTTCACACTGAGGCTGGAAAGGGAGCTGATTCCAAACCAAGAGGAAGGAGAGCGGCAGCAGAGAGGCTGCAGCCCTGCCACACAGCCCCGTCCACAGTTGGGGAGAGCCCGAGACGTGGGTGGCACCAGCGACGGCTCAGCCAGAGTGGTGGGTTTCTGTGCGTGTGTCTGTGTCTGTGGTTTTAGGGAAGGATCCAGATTCCATGGCTGCTCTCAGGCTACACATAGACCCTTTCTTATCCCAGGCTAGGAAGGCAGAACAAGACTGGAAGATTCAATTCTGTCTCTTTCCAATGACCAGTTCATAAACATGTTTGGACAAGTTGCTTTCTCAGAACTTCACTGTCGTCCTTACGATGGGGTGGTAACACCTGACACAAAGTAAGTGCTCAATTGATGTGCTCAATAAATTATCATCATTGTTGTTATTATTTCAGGGCAATGATGAAAGACCCCAAAATGTGGGCAGTGGTTGCTTCTGAGTAGTGGGACTATGAGTGACATTTTTTTCTCTCTTCTGTATTTTCTAAATTGTATACAATGAGCATGTTACCTTTCCTCTTTGAAAAAAGCACAGATTTTCTCCAAGAACTATATCAGAAAAATGAGATGATCAATGTGAAAGGGCCTAGGCCATACTCAGGAGGATGTTTCTAATAGAAGTGTCCTCCTGCAGTGAAAGTTTGAATAGATGAGCTTGGGTAGAAAAAGAAGCCTGGCATTTGCGGATACGTATAGAGTTCTGTCCTTTAATAAAGTAATTTCTTATCCCCAAATGCCAGAAGAAGAAGGCATATAAGTGAATGTTTAAATGCTATGGCACTGACTCAGGGAGACATTTAGGCAAGTTTAAAGGAAGAGAGCTTCTTGGCCAGAGTTGGAATGCAAAAAGTGTAGAGAGGAAGCTGGAAGCAACCCAAGTCAACAGATGAGTGGACAAACAAAACATGGCATAGACAAACAATGGAATAATATTCAGTCTTAGAAAGGAAGAACATTCTGACACATGGCACCATGTGGATGGGTCTTGAGGACGTTTTGCCAAGTGAAGCAAGCCAGTCACAAAAACACAAGCAATACGTGATTCGACTAACAAGGGGGAACCCTCCCAAAAGGAATTTATTTATAAAAAAATTTATTCTTGCATGCTTAAACTTCAGTCACCCTTAAAGTACTCTCTGTTTGATAAAAGAACACTTATCGAGACACATTTTCCACTGCTCAAAACGGTTTTTGAACCTGTCAGTTTTGATGTCTTTTAGTGCTTCTGCCGTCTTTTTGTTTCACCTCTTCCATATTGGCAAAACACTTCCCTTTGAGGACATTTTTCATCCAGGGAAACGAAAAAACAGTTCAGGGCCACATTGGGTTTATAGGGAGGGTGGGGCACTGGGGTCATGCTGTTTTTGGTCAAAAACTGCTGGACACAGCACAGTGTGGGCAGGTGAGCTCTCATGTGAAAGAACCAGTCACCTGTTTGCCACAACTGGGGACATTTCTTCCGCAAATAGTGATGCAATCTTCTCAAAGCTTCCAGATAAAAACTTTGGTTGACCATCTGATCCAAAGAAACAAATTCCAAGTATACTACAGAGGTCCTGCCCCCCAAAAGATAATTACGGTGTCGGTCCCTCCTCCTCTATGAGATACCTAGGGTGGTCACATTCATAAAGACATAAAGTAGGATGGTGGTTGCCTTCAGTTGGAAGGAAGGAACGGGTAACAGAGAGTTGATGTTTAATGGGGATGGAATTTCAGTCGAGGAAGATAAAATGCTCTAGAGACAGATGGTGGTGGTGGTTGCACAACAAGGTGAATGGACTTAATGTCACTGAATTATACACTTAAACATGGTGAGAATGGTCAATTTTATGTGTATTTTACCACAATTTAAAAACATATGTAGACAGGAAAATGGATGGGACCCAGAGGAGGGGGATTGGGTCAGGTGAGATGAAGCAAGTTGCTGGCCTCCTGGCATTGAACCATTTGTTGGAGAGATGACTCAAGGAGAGGGGAGAGTCCAGAGAGCATGGCTGAGGGAAAGACAGTGCTGGCTAGGGTACCAGAAGAGGAGGGCCCTGCCTGGTGGACACAGACCAAGGGAGGTTTGCTGGCACCTGTCTGCACTTAGTGGGCTGGAGCCGGTGAGTTCTGAGCGCAGAAGGTTGTGGAGCTTGGAGACTCAGAGTCCACCAAGGAGATACCCATGCAGATGGAGCCCCCGTGAACTCAGAGCTTGGGGTGTGAGAAATCAGGATGGGAAGGGTTTGTGCATCATAAAGAAGTAAATAAGGCAGGAAACAAGCCTGGGCACCGAGGTCCTCCAGGAGAGCAAGGAAGAGGCATGCTTTCAGCATCAGTCCCATGGAGAAGAAATTCTGAATCATCATGCCGAAGGAATTCAGGAGTTGGCTGGCTGATGCCCAAATAAAAGACAACTGGTTAGGGTCAGGATGTCCTGAAGAGAGGTAGGGGTTTCATCTGGGCACAAATGGAGGCTAGTTCAGTGCCTGGTGCTTGGTGGGATAATAACAGCAACAACAATTTATCGAGTACTCTTCTTGGGTTGTTCATGTATCCCCTACATCATCTTCTACTCAGGAACTATTTCTAGCTTCATTTTAATGCATAAGGGAGACTGAGGTTAAGAGGTATAAGTAACCTGCAGACTCAGGGCCTTAAAGTATGTCCTCTGCCTCCAAGGAGGTCAGACCTTCTTTCTGCTTTGCCACCAACAGCCCGCCCAACCCAGCACTGCCTCCCATCTCCCCTAGATCCCCAACCAACTTCTCACTTGAACTGGTGCTCCCGGGAGCTGCGGATTTTGGAGGAGAACCGCTCGGCCAGTTTCTCCAGGCTGCGGGAGTACTCGAGCTCGATCTCAGCTTTCCGGCGGAAAAACTCCTGGAGGTCTTGAAGCAGCTGCAGCCTCGACTCTGACTGCTGCTCCAGACATTTGAACTGCTCCACCAGCTGCGTGCGGATCTCTGTGGGCAGAGGCAAGGGCGGGAGCATGAGACTGGTGGTGGGGACGGCAGTGGGACTCACCCAGCCGAGCCGGTGTCTATCAATCAGGCAGTTCCCTCCCCACCCGCCTCCCACCCGAGCCTCCCAAGCCCAGTCAGAGCCTAGACCCGGCTTGGCAGAGCTTCGGCACAAAGATTTGGCCCGTGTTGGATTCTGCCAGTTGGTCTAATCCAATGTTTCCCAAACTTGAATCATTGCATGTCATCACCATGACTTTTGCCATATCCACATGCATTAGTATTTCTTCCATATGATCTGGTAAATTGACATGTTTTTCTTACTGAAATTATCCTGCTTATAATGAAGGGGGTTTTTTTTTTCCTATCATAACAGTAAAGTGGAAAACTTGGACCCGTTATGGGGAGGCACGGAAGGGAAACATAGGAAATAATTCAATATAAACAAAAATTCTTAAAACTCTATCTGGGGACTATTGCTTACCAAAGGCCTTAAGCCTAAACTGTCAGCTCTTTGCCAACCAAAGGAAAATGGCAGTGTGAGAGGTATAGAAGATTTTCTCCAGTTGAAGTCAGGGCTGAGAAGGGGATGCTGTTCCCTCTTGGGCTTCAGTGTTATTTAAGGCCATGTCTGTGTTCCACTTTAAATCACCTTGAACTCCACGTATAAACATCTCAGGTACCACTAGAGTATTGTAGCCCCTGCTTCAGGAAATACTGATTGGATCAAACCAGGACTGTGCAAATTAGCCAGGGCAAAGGTTCAAAAGCTGGAAACTGGAATTAAAAATTACAGCCAAATCCCAATAACCACGGCCAACCTCATCTCTGAGCCTCTAATCTTGTCACTGCCACTGTCCTCATGCATCAATTCCTTCCAGGCTATCCCACGAGTTGCTCACTTGATCAGTGTCTCCAAAGCAGACTGCTTACACCAGCAATCTGCTCGAACATAACCCACAGCTCCCTCGGCCTGTCCTAAGTCAACTCCTTAGCATGGAATCGAAGGCCGTCCTCCATGCATTCCCACACTCTATTTCTCAAGACTTATCCCCCAGTGGACTCTCCAAACCATTCAAACCAGTGGCAACTTTCTCCTGCCTAAATGTGCACCCTGTCTAAGATGGTGGCCAAGACCAATTTCTCATCCTTCTAGAATCTGACTATGGTACGGTGCCCCAAAGTGTAAAGACGCCTGGGAGCCAAAAGAAAAAAAGGATAATTTAAAATGCTGGCGTTAGAAACTCTTCCTTTAATCAAGAAGCCATAAGCTCTTGCTATTCAAGTGTGGTCCATGGACCAGCAGCAGCAGCATCAACAGGGGGCTTATGAGAAACACAGAATCATCCAGATTCAACAAGATGCATACATGAGCCGGGCACAGTGGCTCACACCTGTAAGCCCAGAACTCTGGGAAGCTGAGACAGGAGGATTGCTTGAGTCCAGGAGTTTGAGACCAACTGGGGCAACAAAGCGAGACCATGTCTACAAAAACTAGAAAAAAAAATTAGCCAGGCATGGTGGTGCCCACCTGTAGTCCCAGTTACTTGGGAGGTTGAGGCAGGGGAATTGCTTGAGCCCAGGAGTTGGAGGCTGGAGTGAAACCCTGTCTCAAAAAAAAAAAAAAAAAAGCAAACAGGAAATGCGTGCCATTTTTTGTATATCAATTGTACCTCAACAAAGCAAAAAAATGCAAAATAGAATCTCAGGCTCCAGCCCAGACCATCTGAACCAGAATCTGCATTTTAACAAGTTCCCCCGGCGGTCCACATGCTCCTTAAAGTTTGAGACACACTGCCATCATCTGCCACTCCACCCATCTCATAATGAGAAGCGCTTCCCACACAGTGTTGCTCTCCACATTTAATGACATATCATGGAACCAACCATGCTGCCCATCAAAAGAGGACTGGATAAAAAAAAAATGTGGTATATACACAATGGAATATTATGCAGCCACAAAGAAGAACAAAATCATGAACCTCACAGCAATCTGGATGGACGTAGAGTCTCTAATACTGAGTGATCTTTCACAGAAACAAAGAACTGAGTATCACATGTTCTCACTCATAAGTGGACCTTGAGCAGCTATAATAATACTATAAGAAAGGGACTGGCAGTAGCAAGAAACTGCAGGGGTGTGGAGGGGAGAATGGGAGGAAGCAGGATTGGCAGTAGTGAGAATCTGCCTGGGGAAGGAGGGGCACACCTCATCCACAAGGGTACCTGCATAATGAACATTTGTATACCTAACCTTGAATTGTACCCCATATCTTTAAAATAAAAAAATTAAAAGTTAAAAAAAGTGATGTATCAAATGGGTAACACATTAATGTTACTGTGATGAACTGTGTATTAGTGATCCTTGTAATGATAAATCAATCGATCCAAAAGAAAGATACTTAGAGTTTTATGATGAAGGGAAAATTTTTGAATGTCCATTTCAGTGTATTTAACATCTTTTAGGGTAAAAAGAAATATGACCATTTTTAAAGTTTCAAAAACTTTAAAGTTCCACTCTCTTGTGAAGGAAGTGGAAGGGAATTAGGAGTTCAAGAAGGTGAAAAGGAGACAATGTAGTTTTTTTTTTTACTTGTTCAGGTAATTTTTGATGGATGATGGTAGAAACCAACACCTTACAGTATTTATCCTATGACCAGGCAATTCCACTCATGTACACGTACCCTGAGGAAATCAATGCTTATGTCTATCAAAAATATAGATAAGAATACTCATAGTATCTTTATATTCAAATATTAGAAACAACCCTAAATGTCTCGTAAGAGTAGAAAAGATGTTTTAGATGTGAGAAATCCATTGAGTGAAATACTACACAACAACGAAAAAGAATGCTACTGCTACCTGCAACAACATGCTTGAAACAGACCTTATGTTTATTGAAAGAAGCCAGAACAAATTAGGTCATGAAAGAGTGATGTTGACAGAAGTCAGAGAAGTGCTCGCCTTTGAGGGGTATTAACTGAGAGAGGTCACAAGGGTACCTTCTGGAGGATTGGAGATATTCCACACCTTGATCTAGGTGGTAAGGCAATGGTAAAAATTAATTGAAGGGCACACTTAAGATCTGTGCATTCTCTATGCACATGTGAGGCTTCAATAAAAAGATAAAATTTTAAACTATGTGATTTAGTTTCCATTGGATGCGTCTTAAGAGAGTGGTATGGTATAAGGTTCCTCTAAAATGTCAATATCTAAAGCATGACAGAAATTATATCCTTTGTAACTAATCAAACTTAGAATGAACATTTTAGATGTCAAGTTAAAACGTGTAAAGCTGAAGAGTTTCCCACACCCCCCCTCAAAGTTCACATAGAGTGTAGGCAAGAAAAAAAGGTGAAAACCACTGCTTTAGAGCACTGCTCCTCCTAGGAAGGCCTGGGCGGCTGGCCCCAGTGACCCTCCACTGAACTCCCATGGTACTTAAGGTAAATCTCCGACTGCTGGAACTGTTTTGTTTGGGGTTTTGTTTCATTCTCTCATGTATGCATGCCATCTCTGCCTTATCTCCTTAAATGAAATTTAAGCTCTGAGAGCAGATTCTTCCAGCACATAATAGGTTGTTAGGATATCGATATCTCTACAGCAAATTACTATTTACCTTTAGCAAATGCTTTTACCCCAGTTCATTAAGGGCTGTGATTATAGGAGCCTCGCCTGACACAAACACGCACACACATAAACATACACTATACACACACACACACACACACACACACACACACACACACACCATTCACCCCACACACATACACACATTCAACGTGGGTATTATTACCTGTTTTTACAGATGAAGAAACCAGGGTTTTGTGTAAACCAAGGTCAGCAGACTCATTCAAGGTCATCTTTTGTTCTGTCAGCTATAACAAACTACACACAGGTACACCTAGTCGATGGCCTACTTGTTGTGTTGGATGAGGTGCCGTCACACCCACAAGACCCAGCCCTCTTACACCAACATATAGTTATACAAAAAGAACCATTTGGTAAGCATGACGAGTGTTTCCCCGATTTTTCCCCATAGATGAAGAAGTGCAGGCTCAGGGGGGAAATCATCAGCCTGTAGTCCTAATGGCTGGGATCCAGCAGAGCTGGGAATCATACCCAGACCCCTCAGAAGGTAACAGTGATGCTCTTGACACAAAACTAGACTCAGGCCCCTGGAGAAACTTCTTGGTCTGCATTTCATGTAATAGTCTTCTTTTCCATATTAAAACAAAACAAAAGACACCTTCAATCCATCTGTATTCAGCCTCTTGTATCCTTTTGCAACTAGATGGTGACCTAAAGACATATTATTTATTAGAAACGCTGCAGCCACTGCCTTCCTCCATTACAGGGCACAATCAGGAGACAGCGTTCATATTTTAAAGGAAAAGCTCATTAATCACATCATGACAACGGGAGGTGATTGGGAAGGCACAGAGCATCCTCCTCCAATTCACACAACCAGCTGGAGCCTTCCAGGCTGGGTCGTGCATGGAACCCTCCGGCAGTTTAGACTGCTCAGAATCAAGTCTTTCTAGCAGGAAACAGCCCTGGCAGGAGTATCCTCTGCAGTCTGCGAGCCCTGGAACCCTGAGGGGATTGGATTACCCATCTCGTTATTTCTAACTCCCTTCCAAGTTGCTGCTAGGAGTCTAGGAGCCAGCAAGGATTTTGTTTTTCTCCTTGAAGATTTCAAAGAGAGAGAAAAAATTAAAACAGAACTGTTCCCAAGGTGCAGACTTCATTCAGCAGACGATGACTCCTTTACACCCCCTCACACCCCCAGGGAACGGTTCCAGCCACAGCACAGCATCGAGTGACAGAAAAATTGAGAGGGGGTGGAGCAGGGAGGGGAAGGGATTGGAAAGTCAAGACAAGCTTTGATGTCAGCACCTGAGAACTAAAGATGACCGTACTGATGGCCTGGTGCAGTTCTTGGTTTTACGGACAGGGGCATGAGGCCCGGAGAAGGGGCAGAACTAATTCTTCAGCCCAAG